TCAATCATGAGTACGAGGTGTTACATTTAGAAGAGAAGAGTTTGAAACTTAATCATCTAGAATGTTTAGAAATCAATAGATTCAGGAATTCGGGTAATTTACTGAATGATCAATTAGAACTCAATAACTCTCCGTTACTGAATATATTTTTTCAAATGTGAAAATGGAACATAAGTGCAGGTAATTTAATTCGTTAGAAACTCAGGTAAAATATCAGCTACTTAAAATTCAGGTACTTCGTTTACAGGTACTTTGATTTCAGGTACTCCATAAACTATATATATATTTAGTATTGAATGTGTAGAATTAGTTGAAAGACACGCCAGATGAAGCCATTGTATGGCGAAACACGTGTTGCGTTTTTGTAAAACAATTTAGTGAAAATCTCACAATAAAGTGTTTTTGGAATACGTTAACAAAATAAGTATTTGATACCTAAATCCTGTGATAGGCACTCTTCAGAAATCTTCAAGAGTTTGGGCGATACAAAGATTAACAAGGTGTTTTCTTTAAACGTTTGATTTCTGCTATAGTTTGGTCGGTTTTACGACACTGAGGACCTAATGAAGTTGTTTCACCAACTTTGATGTCTCCAAACAAATGTCAAACTAGCATTAACCGATATGATATATTTCTATGTTTATTCCAAAATGAAGAAATATGATTTAGAGATGAGGAATTTAAAAGTTAAACACAGATACACATTTTTTCACATCTCATATACCAGGCGACAACTAAATCACTGTACATGGAAGCATTCACTTGTTTGTGGGGTTGAAAATATGAAATTCGAACGAACGAAACTACCAAAGCAATGAAGACAAAATTGACTGCAGAAAAAACTCTTCGTGAAGATATATTGCATACACAATAAGTACGACCTGGCTCAGGTCGTACTTATCGGAGCGTGGCCAAATTGTACCATTTAATGGTAGTAAGTCTGGAAAGCAAGTAATTGAGAGTGAAGTTCCTCAAGGATCAGTTTTGGGCCCGATTCTATTTCTCATTTATATTAACGACCTCATCTACTTAGACATCAATGGTGAAATTACTATTTTTGCAGATGATACATCGATTCTATGGCACAACAAAAGCTCCTTAGAGCTCAACTACAACATAGGCATAGATATAAAAAAAGTTGACATTTGGTGTGATTCCAATCTTCTAGCTTTCAATATGAGCAAAACAAATATCATCACATTCAAGGGCGACTTAGATGATGTTTATTTGGACAAGAAACAAATCTCCATTTCAACGGATAATAAATTTCTGGGACTTCAGCTTCAGGTTATTTTGCGGTTCGTGTCGTTGCTAATGAGTTGAATTTGGGTATAGCGAAGAACATATACCACGCACTAATAGAATCACATTTTCGTTATGGAATCTGCTTCTGGGGCGCTTGTGCTCAGTATTTATTTCAAAGAGTATTCTCTCTCCTCCAAAAAAGGGCAGTTAGATACCTATGTAGTTCTGTTTACCGTGACTCATGTCGTCCTTTGTTTATGCAGCATGGAGTTCTGACATTGGTTTGTATCTACATTTTGGAAATGGCTTGCCTCATGCACAAGAAATACCAAGCTATAATTATTTCTGAGTCAACCTATAACACTCGCTCCTCTCACTTGATCTCGCTTCCAATTCCCTCCTCAACCTTAACTCGCAACTCTCTAATTTTTGAGGGCAAGAAAATTTTCAATCACCTTCCCCTAACCTTGCGTGTCATCAAAAGCGAAGTCAAGTTCAGAAAATCTGTAAAAACGCTCATAGTTGGGAGGGCCTACTATACCCTGGAAGAATACTTTCAGGATTCTTTTTGCTGAGATCTCTATCTTTGGCGGCGGTCATATAACGTATGCCTAATTCTTTATATATTTAGAGGTAGTCCTTGTAATTTCATGTACAAAATGTAAAAATTTTTTCTTTTTGTTTTTCCGGCATGTTACTTTATTCATTTAATTGGCACATCGTAGTTTTGTTGTTCAATGTTATTTGGCTTAGTGGTGTAAATCTTGTTGCTTTTGTATATGTAATTAT